GAATAGGAGTTCCAAGAAGAAGGATCCTGTTCGGGGCTCCTCGTTGCAAGTCTTGCAGTATTTGGGTGTATATCATGGTAACCCCTAAGCCCTGAGCCCCAAGCTGTAAACCCTAAACCCTAGATAGTGTATGGATGGGGCCAGTCTCAAGAGAACGAAGGTGGCACCTGCTTTTTTATGTTCCAAATTCCTGGGTTGCTGTTACACTGTAAGGGAACTTGACTCAAGTTACTATGAACCATTCTGCAAACTGTATACCCTAAACGTTTTACTTGTGCTTCTAGAATTTTTGTCTTGGCTTTCATTACGATTTAGGGTTGAAATTAGGGTTTTGTTTGCCGCGGATGTGGCGCTTCCTCCGATGTGATGGCCCTCAGTTCAATGCATGCTTGAGATTGAAGTACTCTTGGCGGGAGGGAGAACAAATCTTGAAGAGCTTCCGGCTGGCAGGGAGCTGCTGGAAGTCATGGACTTGAGCCACACCATCTGGCAGACGCTTGAGTGCCTTCGATTGCGGTTTGCTTTGTCGGGATGTTCAGGGTTGCGGTACTTGAGAAAATAGGAATGCCGCGGGGGGCTGGGCTTATCAGGTGGAATCTAATCTTAAAGTGATCTCGGCCAGCGTTCCTAGCAGAATCGATGCAGTCTGGAAGCCTTTTGAAAGCGGCCAAGTTGGAATTGAAGACACGCTTATGGCTTATGAAAATTGCCATCGGGACTACTGCGGGATTGATTCATCCCTCCACTCGAGTACCCGTGAGAAGTAGGGCAACCGTGGATGTGTGAGAAGTCTGCCAAGATTGGGTTCTTTCCCTAATCCAGATCTCCTAAACCTAAATACTAGAATCCGTATTATAGGGACCCCCACAAAGGTGTCTCTAATTTTGGGAAACCCCATTGAAGTCATGCAGTCGGGTCAGTCTCACAGCTTATAGTCTCTTCCTGGGGTCGTGCCAACAAAGATCCAAATAGCAGTTTGAGAGCCTTCAGCTTTCAAAAGATCACCGTGTAAGAAATCCAGCTAAGAGGAACTCCCAAAAGGGGCCTCTCTTCCAGATGAATTTGGGATTTTTTGTGTTATGCTAGTGGAGATCCGCAAATTCAAGACCGCCCTGCCGAATGCTGTGGCTCAGGTTGTCTGCATATGAACAAGTGCCGCTGGAAGTTCCTGATGATTCTGAGCCCTATTCTCCGTCTCTCGTTCTGAAGTATCTTTCCGAACTTCGTTAGTGTTGTTCTTACAATATTGGGCAGAGGTTCAGGACACCATTTTTCTCGTGAAGGAAAGCTTTGTTCTGATGGCATCAGACTTATACGCTGTGCCTGCAGATACGATACGACCGAGCCCAAAAAACCCTAGAAGTCTTGAGCTGTGTTGGTCTTGCTTAGAGACATTACTTTTCGGATGAAGGCACACACACGCTCAGTGATGCAAACCGTACCAAGCGATTCTCCCCCAAAGGGAGCTAGGTGAGGCGACCAAAGTACCAGTCTCTTCAGGAGGCTGTTTTCAAGTAGCTCCAGGAACACAACATGAAGCTGAACAGCTTTGTATATCCTTCTTGGAGAACTCCGGGACTCAGGATCTCAGACAACATCCGGTAGATTCTCCCACAGCTTATCTCGTCACGGGACACCATGTCTTCGTGTACAAAACTTGAAGAAGAGACTTGAGTTCACACCACGGTTGTGTATTTTGAGGATCATGGGAGTCAACATTCCTGTGTGATCGGGTCTCTACATAGGCGTGTAAAGATACGGTAACCCCCAACGCACCCTATGGTGGTCGCCGTTCCAAAGTCCCAGATAGAACCCATAACTTTGAGACGCGTACATAATGCCTAGAGCGTTCCCATACCTGGTCTATGTAGCTACGCGTGTAGCCACCGAGAATCCGTGAAAGAGAACACCCCCAGCCGCGCGAGCAGTAAGGCTTGCTATTCCGGAAGTCAGCAGGGAGCCGCCCAGCACCACCACCATGCACAGCTCAGAGCCAACCAGGCAAGGGCTAACAGTTGCATTCTCGGGCGCAGGGTTTGAGTTTGGGGGGCACTTGACTACAAAAAAGCTTACTACAAAGTCATACCACGCTGATAGGAGGTGCCCTTGTACTTCTGCAGAAGAGGCCTCAAAATCAACACTGTGGTTCCGCTGGAGTAAATTTGTTTACAATCCTTGCATGTCACAATCGCAAAATTGTCTTTCTCTCTAAGAAAGCCTCCAAATCTGGGTTGGTTAATGGCCGTGATCGCAAATGGAACCCATCAAAACTGGCCGCTGCAATGAACCGCATCGCTCGTGAGTTGGGCTCTTTTCTAGCAGTGTCTTCTTTTGGGCGAGCCTGTGAATGCTGGAATCTCCTGCGAAATGAACTAGATGCTAGATATTGGCCAAGCAGGGTCCCATGGCTGGTGCTCTATCAGCATTGATCCCACCTAGCGCGAGGCAAGCAAGTGGTCAACAATAGTTGGCGCACTTTAGTCTCGGTGCCTATGCTGAAAATGCACTGAGTCAGCCACCGTCTCCAACAGGCACGTAGATATTGATGATACTAGCCTGTGAACCAGATTCCCCGCGCATGTCTGTTGAGGCGTAATTCCCTTGCAAACCTCAAAGACACTGTTACTAACCCTACACTGACTGTCCCCTGTAGTCCTAAAGTCGCCATGCTCATCCTTCTTACGTGTTGACCCCTAAACCCAACGTCTCCCGAAGCTCCCAAGTGAGCATTTCCGAAAGTAGGTTAAGTGATGTTCTTGGAAATCTGGTTGAATGGAAGGATGGCGACGGGACAGATTCGCAGCAGCTTGACCTTGTTTATGCAGACAGCACTGTGGTAGTTTGGTGGTGGCGGCGGCGGTGGCGGCGGTTCGGCCGGCGGCGGTGGGGCCGGCGGTGGTTGGGGCGGCAGAGGCCGTGGCGTTGGCGGCCGGCGTCGGTGTGTCGGGTTTAAAAAGAGCTTTGGCATGTTTAGGCTGCAGGCCTGATTAGCAGAGACAAGCGCCTACCTGCCTCGAGCAGAACGGCGCCGTGGTCTAGAGAAGCATCGTGGCAGGAAGCACGACGCAGTTGATTTACCTCGCGCTCACGCGCGCGTCTTCTGTGGTCCCAGACCCGCTTGAACGCCCAGAGGCCAGTGGCCTCCGTGGAATATCATGTCAGCAACAAGCCGAATATCATCGATTGTAGGATTCAGTCTCTCAACTCTTCCACTCATTCCACTGTTGGCCAGCCCACAAATAAATACACATAATATACCCTTCCTTACAGAAAGGAACCAATGCGGATACGCAGGCGATGTCCAAAATTGTTGTAGCATTTTTTGACACTCTGCTACTTCCGAACCCGAAAGCTTTGCTAGGTACCCCAGTAGTACCCTTTTTGCTTTTGATTTTGGGGTCTCCATATTAAAACAGAACATTAGAAAAAAAAGGTACCCTCATTATTAAGGGGTTACTGGGGGACGGTTTGCATTCCAACATTATGAGAAGACCTAGGCCGAAGCCTATATGAGTGCGCCCTAGACCCTCCTACAGGACAGCTGCCCATCCACTATTCAAACGAACCAACCCTCAAACAGCAAATCTTCCCAGTGTAGTACCATTGCACATGACTGGAATAGTGGTGAAGAGTGTTTTCTGTTGTGAGGGGACGTATTTGGCAGCTCAACTGTAGGTAAGAGAGAGCCACATCCACAAAAGGGGTTTTGGGGTTGCAGCCCTACGCTTGTGCCCATAGGCTTGAAGTTGCTATACACAGATTCTGAAGGGCCCCCTGAGTAGAACAGGGAACGGCATAGGGTATAACCTTAGGAGTACAACCCCTAACACCTGCATCCATGGCTCGCAGCAAGGTGTTACTCGCCAGAACTCCGGTGGAAAGAAGTTTCGGATCGACAGTGTAGGCCCAGGCTGCGCCTGTGGAAAAGACATGGCTTAAGCGGGGCTTAGGATATGTGGCTGGTGAAAAGAATTGGCGTGTCTTAGGGAACCTAGGGATGTATTGGGAGTGCAGAGGAATTATAGGGGTTCCCGCTATGAGGACTTGTTTTGTCTAGGTAGTTTGGCAAAACTGCCGTTTTGCCACATGGCTGTTTGAGGGTTGAGGATCACGTTGGGCCAAATGCAACAGTTGAGAAGCTCACAGTGGATCAGCAAGCAAGTAGAGGTATAATGAGTGTCCCAACCCAAAACACAGCACAGCGGGGTGGGGGAAAGGTCGTTGTGTAGAGGTCAGGAGCATGCAGTTTTATGAGCAGGCGGAATGTCTCCGGAGATGGGGGACCACGCCAGGCCACTGCAAATCTTTTACGGGTCCCATTCCGAGAAGCCATAGCATGAGGAATAGAGGGTTTGGGGGTATGTGAGGGGCACCCTGGTTGTTTGAAGTCCCATACGGGTTAGTTTGAATCGTCTAGGTCGGCAGATGCATGGGGTCCGGCTCCTAAGCAGGATTCCCAACAGTCAGAGTGCCTTCAAAGCTGCGGGTCCAAATACCTTCAGATTTGATTCTGCAGGATTCTGAACCGCATGCATTGACGGCTTAAGCATTTGGGGCGAACACGCACGTGATTGTTTGAAATGCCCGCACCGGCACACCTGCTATGTCTAGACCAGCACAAGCTCTTTGCCGCGCATCATGAGATTTCAAGTCGCGAGCACTTAGATTGCTGGAACAGACCTGAGTAAGATCACGCCAGGAGCGCCACGAGACGTGCAGCCATGGATGCCGACTTCAGAGACCTGAAGCTAGAGCCTCCCGGGACGCCTGGGACACCCGGAACTTCTGGGACGCCTGGGACACCTGGAACATCCGGGACGCCTGGGACGCCATGGATGCCAGCTGTCAAAAAGCAGCGGCTGTCCTCTGACACACCCTTCAACAGAGACGCAGAAATTGCAGCGCGGACGCCTTTCTTGCCTCCTCCGAGCGAGGCTGTAGATTATCTTACAGTTGTCACTTCTGGGCAGGAACCGCGCACCGTGTTAGTGTGTGGGGACATGTATGGCCGTCTGGACGTACTCCACGCCAAGCTGATTGAGCTGAAGAACGAGGTGGATCTTGTTCTTGCAGTTGGCCAATTCCTACCGCCGAACCCACTGTGTAGCCGCATTACGCAGTATGTCGGCTCTGCCGCTACGCGCACTCTGCCCGTGCCTGTCTATTTCATCGACTGTGCCTCTGAGGTCTTCATAAAGAAGCATGAGGTTGACAGGAAGCCAATACTCCTTTCGCAAAACCTCACTTTTTTGGGGTCATGTGGAATAACTGAACTTGCAGGCCTGCGAATTGCCTACCTCTCAGGCAGCTATGATGAAGATGTTTTCAAGCAGAAGTGGGGACGTGGGATGTTCACCAAAGCTAACTACACATCAGCAGCTGTAGAGAGAATCGAAAAACAGGCCTTCTTGATGCGGCAAAGAGGGGAGAGCATTGACATTTTGCTGACTAGCCACTGTGCTGCTGTTGAGGAACTTATTCTAAGCTACTGTATTGGGGAAAACCATATTGGTTACTTTTTCCCATTATGGAAACTTAAGTTAAGTTCCTTAAATCCCTGTATTGCCCCAGTGCCCATTTCATTTTCCATTTTTTCATTTGATTCTCCAATATAGGGGGATACTATATTTACCTTACCTCAACCCAGGTGAGTGGCCCTCCAAGGTGTGGTCATCGCAATCAAGGGCCTGGATCGCACCGGTTGTCAACAAAAGTTGCTCTAGCCCTGCAGTGTCGAAGCTGGTTGCTAACCTCCGACCTCAGTATCATATATGTGGTCTTGCAGATCGGTTCCACAGAGCCAGTATTGGGAAAAAGGGAAGATCTATAGCCTTGGCCCATGTTCGAGATCGGCCAACCTTTGACAACCAATTGCTGTGGTGGTGTGACACGCTTTCGGTCCGGCCAACCCCCAAGAAAGCCATCGGGCCCGTCATCGTTGATATTGAGGATGATGACCTCGAGATACTGCCTAAAGCTGAACTTCAGGTGATGAAGTCAAAAGCCGAGAGTGAAGCTGAAGCCTTGGAGTGAGCAAAACATTGCACCACATGCAGGTTAGTGACTTAGTGTATATAGTCCCCCTTAAGTAGATAGAATATGGGGTATATGAGGATCTTATTATAATATACCCAAAGCCATATTCTATCTACTTAAGACGATAACCCCAATACATATCCTATTAAACTATGGTTGTTTTCCATGTTCTTTTCCATTATCCCTATATAACCCTTATATAGCCCCATATTCTATCTACGTAAGGGGGACGATTGTAAGACTCGCACATTCAGCATGGTAGCGCTGAACTTTTATCAGGTCTCGCTTAGGTGGACCCCCCGCCCAGTAATAGTGACTACAGGGGATAAGAAGGATTATATTAGGGTCCTCTCATATTCCTAGTATACCACTATTGCAAGGTGGGGGGTCCTCCTAAGTCCTCGCATTATTCCCTGAAAATCAGGGCTGTGACCCTAATTCCGACGGAAGGGTCTCCGAGAAGGGCAGGAAATCATGAGAAAGCCACAATAAATTTAGGGTTTAGGGTTTTAGGGTTCAGGGAATTCCTCTAGGGCTCCCTCAGACTCTACTCTATTAAAACTTGCCGGCTGTTAGCCTGGCATGCAGGAGTGGAAAGGCTGGGAAGGGATAAAATAGGGGCTATTCGAGGGATCCATTCTTTCAATTCCCTACTAACACCCAGTGAGAAAATGGGAACCAGCACGTGGTCTTCATCCTTGCAGAAGCTTGTGCACTGTTACAACTACTGAAGCCCTAAGCCTGAACCCTTAACCCCAGAATTTCACTCCTCAGTTGCTTCATGTTCCCTACGCATCAAGGACGCATGAAAGCTTTTTCGAAGACATGCCTATTGTTTACATGTTTAAGAACACGGCAAAGTGTATGGGATATCCCTGTGCATTTTTTGGCTGGGTTGATGCAATGCCCACCCTAAACCCCAAACCCTAGACCTTTAAACCCTTCCAGCCCTCAGCCACATGGAAGCCCCAACTACTAAAGTGCACTTGGGATGCTGGTAATTATACGGTTTACTCCGACGATCAATCATTACTAGTGCGTGGGGGGACCACCCATGCAGGCTGAAATTTTTAAATTCTGGAAGCCTTAATTGGGCCTGGTAGCTGGAAGCTGGGAAAAGAATACACATAGCTGTTTTCAGCAGGGGATGGACCTGTTCCCTGTTGCAGCCCTTACATGACACTCAAGAACACACATTTTCTACATTCTGTTGAAACCCTCATTCCTTAAACCAGAGCCCTAAACAGTAGTTTCCATTTTATTGTCCATGCCTTCATCCTACCAGCATCCAGTTTACCTGTAGGATATCCGTAGTTGGAGGCCTATATGGATTTCATATAGGCCCAGATGAGCCGTATACGGGGGATACCAAGCTGGTAGCTACCCGAAACCGCCAAACCCTAAACCCCCAAACCCTAAACCCTAAACCCCCAAACCCCGAAACCCTAAACCCTAAACCCGAAACCCCCAAACCTTGAACCCCCCAAACCCTAATCCTCGAACCAGGGGCCAGATGAGCTGGTGGATGCACTCGCAGCAGGCGCCGATGATTCCAGGAAAGGCAGGAGCTTCGCAAAATGACCTTGAACCCACCATGAACTACTATATAGGGTTTAGGGTTTACGGGGATTGTATAGGGTTTTAGGCTTAGGGTCCAAACTCCTTACAGGGGGTTATATAGGGGATTATATACGGTGAGGGTGTAGGGTCTAAAGTCCTTCGAGGAGGGATCATGTAAGGGGTTATGTAGGGGATTTTTCTCGGGGTTATCAAGGGGGATACTAGGAGTTTAGACTACAGCTCAAGTCACCCTGAACCCTAAACTGTCTTATCTTCAGGCCTTAGACGGTCTGATGGATAAATACAGGTTTAGTTTGCTATGTATTGAAGCCCAAGAAAAACTTTGAAATTGCACTTTTCATTTGTAGCCCCATGAGGAACCAGAACCGCAAATAGAGTTCATTTGAGGTGGTGGTAGGGGTTCCATAAATAGGGGGCCCAATATAGACCCCAATATATTGTGTTCTTTATTGTGGGGACTCCATAAAGGAGCCGCGGGTTCTGGAAATTGCGAGTGTATTGTTTTATGTGGGGCGTCCATTTTGGGATTGTAGCTAGAGATCCATAGCCCCTTTTTGCACCCAGCACGAGATCTTCGTATACGTATTTTCCTACGTACACAGGGCTACATGAGGGATGATAAAAAACCC